GCATAGCCAAGATCAATAAACATTACCCTAAAGAGCCTGACCAGTAAAATGTGTATTTTCAACACCACACACGGGTATTATTGCTTTATCTCTAATAAGCATCAGCTTATTCAAGTTGTTGCATCAACTTTGAAACATTTCAGAATAAAAAAAAAAAAGACACAATGGAAGAGAGTTTTGTGGGCAATCCCTGAATCTGAAAAATGACTCTAGAGGAACTGAGGCAGCAAGGGAGTGAAGGGAAGTTTTAAAACTTGACTTCTTTCATCTGGAATTACGAAAACTGGATGGTAACATACGATTAAAATATATAAAAGGAGATCAGTGAAGAATTGGGGGAATTATTTGAACTCCTTCACCAAATCTTTAGCACAAGGACTGCGGAGCAATTCTGGACGCTGGAAGGAGGAATTTTTGAAGAGGACAAAGCAGGCACTAGTTTATTTGGCAGATAACACACCTGTCTGTACACCTGAGGTCGCACCTCAGGTGCGATGAAACACTGACAACAAAATTCAAGGATAAAGTCACGGGCAATAAATCCAGGCTGGGATATTAAGAGCAGTTTTGAGTACGTGGGCCATTCCTTAACCTCTGGGTTGGACATGCTGGAAGGCAGCCACGTTCTCTTACAAAATGTCCCCCAGAGATATAAGTGGGCTCAGAGCACTGGGTTGAAAGGGCAACGTGAGACAAACAAACAAAATGATGTTTACCTGTGGGGTGAGATGCACAGGCCAGGAGCACCACACTGGAAAAGAAATAGCAGACTCGTGAGGAAACCTCCCTGGCCCATTTCTACCCATTCTACCTGGAAATGGGGAGATTTGCCTAAAAGCAAATTGTCTGCGCTAAATGGTCTCATCCTGCCTAAATCCAACTAGTCAGTGAATCACTAAAAATGCCTCCAGTTTTGGCAAGAGGGCTGGGTCTCCCCTGAGATGGGCTGAGAGTCATCCGCGTCACTAATGATCAGACTCACCTAATAACAGACTATTTGTCGGCTAAACAAAGCCGACTCTATAAATTACAAACAGGCTGCAACCTAAAAGCTAGCTGCCGAGCGTGAGCTAAATCTATTCCTGAGCTAAGTCACAAAATTAAATACACAAAAGGATAAATTTCCAAGAAGCTAGCCCACAAAATGCTCCATGCCATCCACCTTGTGTCTGAAAACCACCTGGACCAATCTGCAGTTGACGCCAGAAAGGATGATGCAGACCATCTCAGCGCTTGGCGGTCTCCCATCCTCCTCTCTGGAAGCCTGTCCCATCCCCTAGTGCCTGTCTGCAGTGCCTTCCTGTGGCCCTAAGCCCACCTTCATATCCTCTTCCATTGAAGCTCATGTCACACAGGTTGCTGATTCAGTTGGAGATTAGGAATAAAACTTTCTATTCAAATATAAGAAGGAATTTTTCTTTTTAAAGTGTTGGATGGCCTACTCTGGTTCTTAACCTTGGAGGCACATCCGAATAGCCCAATATCCTGGCTAGACTCTCTAAGGGTCTGGTCCAGGCATTCATTGTTTTCCTTTGCTATGGCTCTCGGTAGCTATAAAGTGCACTAGGACTGAGGACCCCCATGCCACAGTCTCCAGTTGGTGGCATTATAGGCAGGGTAGAAGTTTTGAGCTGAGAAACCGTGTTAGCTCGTCTGCCCAGCCCCGCCATGCTCTTGGGTTATCTCCACGCCATTTGTGTTATTCTGACGGCTCCCAGAGGAGAAGCATCACAGAATAGAGACAGGAGGAGGGAGGGGAGGGATAAACTAGGAGTTTGGGGTTAACAGATACACACTACTATATATAAAATAGATAAATAACAAGGATCTGCTGTAGGGCACAGGGAACTACATTCAATTTCTTGAAATAAGCTATAATGGAAAAGAATCTAAAAATACATATATGTATAACTGAACTGTTTTAGTGTACACCTGAAACTAACATTGTAAATCAACTAACTACACTTCAAAAAATAAATAAATATAATAAAAATAAAACTCGTTACAAATCAAGCCTCAAACTTCATCCTACCTTAACAAATACACCTTCCAAACAACCTGAAAGTCCAGGTGAAAATTTAGAATTCTTGGAATCCTTGGAGCTTCAGGTCAGAAGGTGGCAGTGCTGGGGGATCCAGCCTCTGGCTCCCGGCTCCCAGTGGGCCCCCGGTGCATCCTCTTCTCTTCCCACACCAAGCTCCATCCCGCATCCCCAGGCCCTCCCACGTGTGGGTGTGGACACCTCCACCTGCAAGCCCACCTTCCTTCCATGTCCCTCCCACCCCAGCCTTCCTTCGGACACCCACTAGGTCTCGGAGTGAGTTAAGGAAACAGACCCAGGGAGGCCTTAGAATTCACGTGGGTAGGGGATTCCAGGGCCCAGTCGAGAAGGAAGGGCTCTTAGCCTTACACTCTCCACATCCCCTGGGGGAGAGGCATGGCCCTCTGAAGTGTGGGGCTGGTTGGATGTGCTTCTTGCCTGGCCCAAGGGCAGTACTGCTACTTAGCTTCCTCAGTTCTGATCCGCTCACCAATTACTGAGCTTACTTTCCTGGCAGGAACACTGGCTCAGATCTTCCCAATCAAAATATTATTGGAAAGTAAAAATCCATTAGGTGAAGAAGGACAGAAGTTATTCTTTGAAAATTTAAATTATAGTTTACCTGAATAGGTAGTTCAAGTACTGTTGGTCAATGTCACTAAGGAATGAGGGAAAAAAAGATAAAGCACGTGAAATACCAGAAGTATTTTACATACACAAAAGTCATTTGCTTCTATTGATACATTATAGCTACGTACAAGTTACTACATTTATAAATTATCAATAAATACTATGAAGAGTATTTCATATTCAAAACCATTTCCAGGCTCGTTTTTAAAAACGATTTCCTCGGTTAATACTATCACATGCATTTTCACTTGTGGCCAATTATTTCCTATGTGTACTTCTGCCACTTTAAAAGGAGTGTCAGCTCTCTCAGGCCACTGGACTGGCTTCTAGGGCTACAATATTTGACAAACAAAAATACAGGACACCAAAATAGACCTGAATTTCATGGGAAAAATAATGCTTTAGTATAAGTATATTCCAAACATTGCATGGGACATACTTAAACTAAAAAAATTATTCCCCGCTTACCTGACATTCAAATGTAACGGGGTATCCTGCATTCTATCTAATAACTCTACTGGCCCCTTGTTACAAAAACACTTTATTTCAAAGATAAAACGGTGCCCTAGGGACCCGCCACACACCCTCAGAGTGTATAACCTCCTCCAGGAGTCAGTCCCTTCAGAGCTTTCCTCTGTGGGCCTCCAGCAGCGCTGAAACCCAGGCGCCAGCTGCCCAGTGGAAGGCTCTGACCTGGCAGCCCCAGCTCCACCAAGGCCCGAACTGTCATCTTTCTCACTTATACTCGCCAACTGACTGCCCTCCACAGAGGCCTCATTTCACCCCAGAACAAAGCTAGTGATGGGGGAGGCTGCTGGCTCTAAAGTTAGGAAGAGGCTGGAGAAACAAGCAAAGACTTGTGTCTCTGAGCTGGAGGAAGTGAACTGGGGCCCAAGGCAGCTGGGCACATAATTTTGGTCAAAAAGTCATCTAAACGGCTGCTGCTGAAGGAAGAGACAGAATTCCAGGCTCTTCGCACATCGCTGGCGGCTGGTGGACCAGGCCTGGACCCGCCCAACAGCACAGGAAAGGGCTTCGGGCCAAGCCTGCTGCCCTCACTGCCACCTGGACTCGTGGAGTCTCCGGACGATGGAGGCAGCTCACAACACCGAGGGTCTCACCCCCTTCCTTTAACCAAATGACGGCTCACCAACCTTTAAAAGTTTACCTTAACGC